CCAGGGTACCTGACCTTAACCAGTGGTCATACTGTCTATAAAATTAACTAGAAAGATAACTACAAGAAAGACTTAATATAAGGCTGGCATTACCAAAGTTAAAGTCCATATATGCCATGGAAATATAGTCTAAAAGAATAAGAGAATTAAACAAAGAGTTTAGGAGAGTTGTAGGAGAGCAACAAATGTCACTAATAAAAGCCTTTTTAAATGTCTTCTGTTCTATAAGAGTGTCACCATCAAAAAATTATTGAGTTAAAATTTAGAGTTTATTATTATTATCACAAAAGTATATTTTATGTAGTGAAAAATTACTATGCAGAAATTACTATGCAAAAATTACTATTGTAGGAGAACTGAATGAAAAATTATGGAGATATATACATATATATATATATATTTTTTTTTTTTTTTTTCCCAGTCTAGAGTGCCATGGCATCAGCCTAGCTCACAGCAACCTCAAACTCCTAGGTGATCCTCCTGTCTCAGTTTTCTAAGTAGCTGGGACTTCAGGCACCATGCCCGGCTATTTTTTTTCTATTTTTAGTAGAGACTGGGTCTTATTTTTGCTCAGGCTGGTCTTGAACCCCTGAGCTGAAGCAGTCCTCCCACCTTGGCACCCAAATTGCTAGGAGTCACCATGGCCAGCCCGGATGCTTTATTTGTTAACCACTTTAATTTGTATCTTTGTGAAAGAAACTTTAAAAATGAAGATAATTATTGAGCATTACTTCAAAAGCAAAACCAATTGGTTTCAGAGAGCTAGGGAAATTCCTCATTTTTTCCATTGTAGGAATTAGCCAGATTTTCCGAAGAATCATCAAGTAACATTGGGGCTGAATTGTCCTTTGATTTAATCTGCTGGTGTAAATCCTCTTTATCTAATCTCATGATAAAAGCCAATAAGAACAGACTGTTTATATACAGAATGTGAAATTCATCATATTCATAATGGTCTATTTTTTCTGTCTTAGAAATTGGGAAGTTTACGAGAGGCTCAGAGTTGGTCTAAGCAGGGAGATGAGCTCCTGGATTTCTGGAGAACTGAATTCAGAGGAATTATTCGGGGACACCTGGGCACGGACTCTAAATGAGAATGTGGCCTTGCTGACTCAATCTAATCCAAGAATCAGGAGAGCTCAATGTTTGTAACATTCCTTACACAGAATCACACCGATAGTGAGTGTGAGATGTTCTGGAATGGATGCATGAGCATAAAACGGCAGTGCCCAGGGAGAAATCAGTTTCTTTCTCAAGATTCTACCTGTAAGGAGAATGTCACCTCTTTGCTATGTCCTTAAAAGACACCAAGGATTAAGGGAAAATCTACTCCAATATACACTGCATCTACTTCTGCTCTATTGGCCTGCTGATTTCCATTAGTAAGTTCTGATCCTTGGCTAAGGTGTAAATCTGCAACTTAGAAGGGGTTTTATGTTATCTACCCACAACTGGAAAATGTACTTTTTATGTGAGGTTGAATAATGATTTAGGCAATTGTATGACACGAAGTGAAATTAGTCAACATATGTTAACAATATTTTGTTAACCACAAAAAGTTATACAAATTCTCTCCCCTCTCCATGTTGTTAAGGAGTAGAGAGAAACACACGTACCTGGAACACATAAACTTGGTACTCCCAGTGGGTGCAGCATTTTATGTTAAAGAGTATGATCTGAGGTTATTACTGGTTGTTATTAGAGTATGATGTGATCTTGTTAGACCATGGGACATTAGGATAGTCCTTGTGCATAATTTACATACCCGACTTTGTATATTATGGGGGGCTTTTTAATATATCTGAGTATGTGTATAGAAGCTAGGTTTTCCAGAAATTTTATAATGTAGTAAATGAGATATAAATAAGAATATTAATTTATCCTAGGGGGATACAGAGGCCCTGTTTATATTAATAAGAGATCTATTGTGTGCCTAGCAACCAATAAGGAAAATCACTGGACCTAGGATGGAAGAAGTCAACTATCCCATGAAACAATATTCAGTGAACTCTAGAAACAGCTGAAAGAGCCTTGGAGGAAAAATATCAGAGGCTTCCTACAATTCAAAAGATATGGTGAATAGGAATAGTTCAGCTTTGCCATTAAACCAACTCAAGGCAGAATTATCAGTAGCAAGAAAGAAATCCAAGGAGACACTGCCAATGAGCCTTAGGGGAGCCACTGGTGGAGACAAAATCCTGGAAACAATAATCCAAATTGATCATGGATCTGCTATTGGCCTCCTTGGCTGGTGGTCAATAGCTAATAATGTCAATGGAGGACAGCGGCAACTTAATTTTCATTCATCTAATCAATAACTATTGAATGATTGAAGGCCTGCCTGTGATTGGTTTATTGGCTGATTAATTCAACAAACAATATTAAGAACCTATTATGAATGAGGCTGTATACTGGGTACATTTTTAATTTACCCATGAGGCTGCATAAGAAATATTTAAAATTACCAAACTATAGAAGTAGCTGTAGCTGTTATAACATCAGCAAACCAACTTCTCTATAGACCTTAGTCCATACACTTACCATACTGTTTTAGTAACATTTTCTTTATTTTTTTTATATCTTGCAGGTGGAAATTTTTCTGTAGAACTGGAATATTTTTGTTCCTTTTTTAACCCCAATGGACAACAGAGAGGCTGGTGGAATAAAGAAATAAGGGATACCCCAAATTCCCAGTGGACAATATATCAAAATAAAAAAAATAAAGATGGCAAAACTAACTTAATCTTTAATTTTCTAGGAAAGGGTGGATTCAGGGGGAAAATGTTACATGAGTAAATTATGTATACACACATAAGCATGTTGTGACATTTGCATAATGCATGTTGTGACATAAGTATAATGACAATTAACAGTTGTCATTCATAAGCGAAGTATCCCTCCTCTGTGATGTTCTAATGTACATCTCTGTATCTCTGCCTTTATCATATATATCATATTTTTATAGTAATCAGTTATGTGTCTGTTTTCCCAGGACTCAAGAGGTTTACCCCGCCGAAGAGGTAAATGTGTATTATTCATCTTTATATCCCCAATGTTTATCATGGTCTTCGGCATACAACCATACTCAGTGGATTATTAAGAAATGAATGAATATGTGGTGGATTTTTCTGAGGTTATTCATTAAAGAGGGCAATGTACTGAAAGTAATAAAAAGTGAATCAGTCCATTTATATGCCTCTACAAAACAGGAGGTATCAGCTTATAAGAATGAAGCCATATTATGTAATTTATGTTGGCATCTTAATACTAGATTGTGGCATCTGGTATAAGTTCTATCACATTATCTTGTAGAAGACGTTAGTATTTCTTCTACTGAGATGAGAGGCTGCTTTGAGGCAAAACTGGCTCATTAGTCTTTGGAATGTTCTGATCTTACTCTAATATGAAGTATCTGTTTAAAGCCAGGGACTTTTAGTCTCCAATTTCTGATTGCCTTGCCTCCAGCTCAAATAAAATGAAACAAAACCTGTTCATTCACCAATCTTTCCTATTTCAGTAAATAATATAATTAGTCACCCATTTGCCAAGATGAACAATTTAGGGGTCATCTTTAAATGTTTTCTTTTCTTCTCTGATCTTCTGTGCCCCCCCCAATTCATTAATTACAGCAGCGCCTCATCAGTTAGCAGATTGCGTGGCTCAGTCTCCATAATATATTTTAAATCTTTCAAGTTTCACCAGTTCTACCTTTACTGTTAAAATCTCACCTTCCTTATTGCAGTAGTCTCTTCACTGATCTCAGGATATCAGGAGACAGATTTGAAATCCACTGAAATCCGTCAATGGTTTCCCCCTGAACTTAAAATAAAAGCCACACTCCATACTAGGTCCTCTGTGCCCCACTTTGTCTGGCCTCCACCAAACCCATCACCCTTACCTTCTATTGGCTGCTTCTCACTATTCTACTTCCAGATCCCAGGCCTTTTTGTTGTTAGGGAACATGCCCCTCTTATTTCCATGCTCACGGCTGTTATATTTGCTGTCTTGTCTCGCTGGAATATTTCTCTGTGGATCTCCACAAGGTGGTCATTAATTACACAGCTGTCTGTCATCTCTTCCAAGAGGCCTCTTTAAAATAATATCTCTACCCCAGTCATTTTCTATCCCATTTCTCTGTTTTAGTTTCCTCAAAGAATTTCTCATTTTGTCATATTATTATTTTTGCTTAACTTGTCTATCATCTCCACTAGGAAGAGATCGGGGTTTGTGTCTCCCTTGTTTACTGTTGTACTCTTGAATGGTAGGTGCCCACTAAATTGTGTGTGGAATGATTTAAGGCTAATTCCGTACAGGAAGTGTGCTAGTTTTATGATGTGAAGAACAGTGTGGTGAAGTGCTTTGGGCAATATACCAGATGTATCGAGACCATCAACTCATGCCTCATTGTTCATTCAAGGCTTGTAAGAAAACAAAAATATTTCAAACAATTCAGACTGTCTGGGAGGCCGAGGTGGGTGGATTGCTTGAGGTCAGGAGTGGGAAACCAGACTGAGCAAGAGCGAGACCCTGTCTCTACTATAAACAGAAAGAAATTAATTGGCCAACTAATATATATAGAAAAATCTAGCCAGGCATGGTGGCGCATGCCTGTAGTCCCAGCTACTAGAGAGGTTGAGGCAGTAGGATTGCTTGAGCCCAGGAGTTTGAGGTTGCTGTGAGCTAGGCTGACGCCATGGCACTCACTCTAGCCTGGGCAACAAAGCGAGACTCTGTCTCAAACAAACAAACAAACAAACAAAAAAAACAATTCAGACTGGAACAGGATTAGTATCCAACGGGGGAAGGCCAATTTAGTCCACTAACAATTTGAGGACACAATTTGTTCCATTAAAAATCTATTGACAAAAAATCTTTCCTTGAATCTTACTAGATATATAATCATGCTTATATTACCTAGGGGGATTTGAGAGATGGGAGCAAATCATTGCATATTGGTCAGGGCATTGTTTAATTACTGTAATAAACATTTGTGCACTGACCTTTTTATCCCTCCAAATGTTTGTGCATGACCTAAGAATTTTCCAAAGTCAATATGAAACATGTGGCCTGACTTTGTCAGCATGATATTATCATTGTGACGGTCACGGACTCCCAGGATGAACGTTACCACACACCAGCCAGCGCAGGAATAGAAAAAGTTCCTCAGGGCCTAAAACAGTAACACAAAAATAACAACAACAAAAAAGGAAGAAGTGTTTTGGCATCAGAGATAATGGTAAAAAGCAAATGACATTAATAAAAAGCAAAATTACATAATCAAGAGCAATTTTTCCATCTCAGTGGAGAGGAGGGGTATAGGTAAGTGGCTGATTCTTGATATGCTACAGAAGAACATCAAAGAATCTGTTCTTTAGCTTAATAGGCGAATGTTTTTATTGAAATTGGGGGAAAATATCTTTTTCATTAAGATGGAGCTAATTTTTATGGTTTACTAGAGAGGTTTCCTAGTGTGATATTTTTTGATGCTCCAAATATACAATATTAAACTATTTTTTACAGAGTAAAAGAGGAAAGAACAGTAGGTTCCAATATTGTCCATTCCCCGAGAAATTTAAAATATAAATTTTTTAATATTTGAAATTTTGGAACACAGAGAAAGCTCTACTGAGAAATAAGTAACATTTTGTGTTTAGCTTTTCACACAGGTCATCCAATTGATGTCTGAAATATTTTGGTATAGTACATGTATCGGTGCATGCTATGTAGGTGGAAGCAGATTACCACTGAGTCCCTTGTGGCTTATGTTTCTCTAATGAACAGAGTGTTCTTTCCAAAAATACTCATTGTTTCCAAAATGATCTCCTGGGTATACATCATTTTCATCAACTTGGTAGTATACCCGTGAGCCATTCGTTGGCCAAGGTTATGTTTCTCTTAGCATGGCGGGCTGCCTTGCTGGAGTGGTAGGTGTGTCACTGGAGTACACGCCAGGATACTTTACTTCCAGGTCTCCTCAGTTCCTGGCCAAGTCACTTAATTTGTCTGTCTAGATTTTCTTCATTTATAAGTGAAGATAATAACACATGTCCTTCACATGACAGTTCTAAAGAACAAATGTATATGGAAACACTAAAAAATTATATAACCATAGGAATTTCTGTGAAACTCAAGTCATAATTTTGGGAATAGCTAAAAAGCAGATTTCAAGATAATCTGATTTAATTCTTTATTATTTGGCCTCTAAAAGCTTGTATTTTGCTCCACTTCAATCTTACAGAAGTATAGCATAGATGAACTAGTGGGTCTCTTTATCATGGTCCATGCTAGCCAGGGTGACTGATCATCCCAGTTTGCCCAGGATGGAGTAGCTCCCCACAATAAGGGAATTTCAGTGCTCGGGACAGCTCCAAACAAATCTAATGTTAGCCCCTATTGCACTTTTGTGTAAATTAGCACACAGGTGACCCTGCTGCTTGGTGGAGCCAGCTGTTCCAATTTATGGCTTGGTAAATGGAACAAGGCCTGGCTCTAGCCACACTCATCCGCTCAGCCAGGAGCCCTGGTATAGGGCAGAACCTGCATAACTCTGGCAAGATGCCAGAATGAAGTTAACTGGGAGAAAAAATGTTTGCAGTCAAATAAACAGTGCATTTTGTAAAATTCTTCCATATATATGTGTGTGTACGTATGTGTGTGTGTGTGTGTGTGTGTGTGTGTATAAACTTATTTTGCATTCTGCAAACCATTAAGAGAATTGGAGATGAAAAATAGAGCGTGGCAGGAGACATGTATCTCAAAGGAAGAAGGGATATTTATAGGAATTGGAGATGGTGCACAAATAGGTGAGGTTACTTGAAGGTGGTAGTTTCAAGGGGCATCTTTTGTGGAGTGAGATTGCTATGAGGAAGACAGCTAAGCAAAGACAGTCTTATTGACTGCCCAGGATTTCACCCAGGAGAAAAACCAAACACAGAAACGTTTATCTAGTTAATACACCATTTACACTGGGTCATTATTACTAGGCTGATGACTGAGTGAATTAGAACTCAAGGTGTACTTAATTTACTTTTCCATAAATCAGGTTATCTAATGAACCAGAGCATATGATTATTTAAGTACATTATTTATAATGATCTCCAGCACGACAAACCTTTTCATAATCTGCCTTTAAGTGGTTGTGCTGACTGAACCACTTTTTGATTGTGTTTTCTTTTAGCGGTCCTATCAGTCCAGAGTGGCGGTGGATCTTGGCTAGGGTGACAGCGTCAGGCACCATCTGCACCAGTCCTGGTTGATGGAAAGAAAAAAAAGATTATGGAAACACTTATTTGTTTACAGGATGAGGGATCCTTAGAAAATATGTCTTGTAATAGGTAATAACAACAATAGTTGTCAGCACAGCTTGGATTACCCCTTTCCCTTCCAAACTTTCTTTTCTGAAGAAGGCTTATCTAGATGGCTTTCTTCTAATTCTTCCTAAATCCTGGGGCGCAATGAGGCTTACTTGTGTTTGGATCAGACCCATCAGAAGCAGCTTTAATGTTTTTTCTTGAACTAAGGTAGAGAAAGCTGATTTGGATGGCTCCACTGGGTCAATGGAGTGGTGGATTAATTGTCATAAGGCTGGTATACTCATTTAGGGTTTAAGAGAGGACATTCAAGCTTGGATAACATATTTATGAGTTAAGTGAGCCAAATGCAATCTCCATAACAAACATTTCATACATATTAGAAAAACTGATGTTCAGGTTAACAAAAGCTTCACAGTTAAATGTTACATTTCTGGGAATGAACAGCATAACTCTGCAAGTAAACATGCAGAAAACCACCTGCTCCTTCCCTCTCAGTAAACTTCAAAGAGAAACCATAATGTCAATTTTTTTAAAGGAGCATACATTGATTGGATTTAAATAGGACCTTTGTCCACTGGCCACGTATCCATCAAGACTTTCTTCGTTGTGTTCTAAGGTTATTGGAATGTAAATATTTTTAAACCTTCTGATTTTTATTCTATACAGAGCAGCAATTTAAATCTAGTACTTAAAGTCTCTCAGGAATAATATCCACAAAACAACCTGTAATGTACAGAACTATAAATGCAATCATTAAAAGAAATTCAAGTCTAGAGTTTCTGATTTTCACAATCTCAACAATTGCAAGAGTTACAAACCCAAATGAACATGGGGACCAGAGACAAAAATATATAATAACATAAACATATCAATAGAGAGATGGTTGAGTTTTTTAAATTGACTATTTCATGGTTTACCTTAAAAGCATACAAATTAGACGACAACAAGAAAGCAGATCATGGTGATGATAAACAAAACACTTCTCTCTGCTGAGTTTGGCCAGTGGCAGCTGGTTTGAAGTCTTAATCTCTATTAATATTCAATAGTCCACTTGTGCCCTTTGGGCATCTACATTTCTAGACCTGAAAGAAACTTACCCCAGAGACAAGTCCTGGGAATATCCTTATCATCATGACATTTGTTTCTCCTCCCCCCAAAGTATTCATCTCTTGCCCAGGTTTTCTCATATGCATAAAGCAAGATGGCAGATCTAAAACATTACATTTAGTGTCAATGGGTCATTCTCTTTTCTAATCATGAAATTTCCCTGTTCATTTTTTCCAGTTCCTCTATTTAATATTTTCTAAGGGAAAATAATCTTCTACCTGGTTTCTGGGTGTTTCAGTGCCACCTCACCTTGGACCATACACTAAATTGGGACTTAGATTATTGCACTATTTTATATACCGTGCTGCAACAATGTTAGTTACTTTTCAGACAACGTTTGTCTTCAGGGAGTTAATCTTTGCTAAATCCCAAGCCACTGGTCACAAGCATTGCATTGCTGAACTATCAGGAAAACCTTGCACCTAATTTATTAATATAACAATCATGGTGGCTAAATTCTGCCTATTAGTTAAAATCATAAATTACAGTTCATACACTTTAAGGTAGTGTATATATCATATACCTTTTAAATACTTCTAACATAATTTTGTGCACCTTGAGTAGTAAGTGTGGTGCCATACTTACAATCCTTTAACGTAGCATTTCTCAAATCTAAGGCACATAAACATCATTTGGAGATCTTGTTAAAGTGGAGGTTCTGAGTTAGCAGGGCTGGGGTGGGGCCTGAGATTCTGCATTTCTAACAAGTTCCCAGGTAATGTTAATGTTGCAGGTCTGTAGTTCACACTCTAAGTAACAAGGCTCTTAGGGATAAACTTTTTCAAGGTGCTGTCATGGAAAGCAGTGGTACATAAGACAGAGGTACATAAGAAACACCAAAGCAGCTTTTTTTTTTTTTTTTTTGAGACAGAGTCTCACTTTGTTGCCAGGCTAGAGTGAGTGCCGTGGCGTCAGCCTAGCTCACAGCAACCTCAAACTCCTGGGCTCAAGTGATCCTCCTGCCTCAGCCTCCCTAGTAGCTGGGACTACAGGCATGCACCACCATGCCCGGCTAATTTTTTCTATGTATATTAGTTGGCCAATTAATTTCTTTTTTTTTTTTATTTATAGTAGAGACGAGGTTTTGCTCTTGCTCAGGCTGGTTTCGAACTCCTGACCTTGAGCAATCCGCCCGCCTCTGCCTCCCAGAGTGCTAGGATTACAGGCGTGAGCCACCACGCCTGGCCCAAAGCAGCTTTTTACAATCACCATTACTTGAGCCCTTCCCCCTCCAGTGGGGAGTCTGATTTGGTACACGTGGGTTGGGGTTGGTTGTATCTACTGCCCCAATTTCCCTAAATAATTTTTATGCCATCAAAGTTGGAGAACCAAGGGTAAAATACAACCTAAAGAATTTTTATTTGCTCTGATAATTTCTTCTAGAAGTCCTCGGGCATCACAAGGTAGGCATGAGGATGACAATCAACAGTGTCGATAAGGTCATGCAAACTTCATGACTGGAGTATACTTTACTCAAGGACAGCAGCTCTACTGAGCTCATTTTAGTATGCATTCCCCATCTCACTTTGTGACATTTCTTGAGAACAGTAGGCATTCAATAAGCCTTGGAACCTGATTAAAAATGCAACCTAATCTTCTAAAAATGACATTTGTTTTAACGATGTCTATTTTTTTGAAGAAGTATTTTGTCAGTATAATGCCCTCTGAAAACCTGTAACTATAGAGGTTATTGGTAGATAGAGGGGAAAAATAACTTCTTTGTCTTATGACATCTGCAACTTGGGCAAGTATAATAGTCATTTTATTAACTTTAAAAAGACCTAGCTTAGGTTACATTCTATGATTATAGACAGAAATGACTAGATGGGATTAAATAATTCCATTGGAGTGGAATGATTATGATTTATTCAATTTAGTGATTTATTAGTGATTAGTGATTTATTCAATTTCCGAAGAAAAGATGATCCATGTAACACCCATGTAACATCAAAAGCTCAGCTCGGATCATTTAGCTTTACTCTTACCTTTTTGGCATGTTAGGATATGAAAAAGTTAGGTCACTTACATGAGAAAAGAGAGGGTAAGATGCAAGACATAACAATCTCATGGTAGAGATAATAAAAGACTTTTAGGAACTATAAGTGTAGAAAGTATTCAGTTTGGGGTACTTGGCAAGGAAGCAGTCCTATTATCAGAATCAAAATAAGTGGGTACTGTTACTTGCAATGGAGTCACTCTGAGGTATCAAGTTGCAAGTTTACAGGCGTTGCTTCCATGCTTGGCATCTAAAATCTGAAGTGACATTGGTATATTGAGCTTTCTGGTAGGACCTCAGGAACTGAGATAACGGGCAGTGACAGTTCTTTTGTGATAATAGGTTTAAATTGGAGCTCTGCGTGAATTAAAAAAAAAATTGACTACATGGTCTAGGTCCCTTTTTGAGTTCTATGATTTCATCCTTTTGTTTATGCACATGTACCTGCTGGAATGCATGCCAATTAACTTCATAGAATTCTAATGGCAATGATCAGATGTAAAAAAGACATTGTCTTAGAAATTGTTGTTTCTTCAATTTAGCTTCATTGTAATTAAATACAACAAGATATACAATGTAACCAAAATGTCAAAAAAAAAATCAAAATCTTTTATCAGGTGATGGGCAGGTGGGGGGAGGAGGGGAAGGGTGTATACTTACATAATGGGTGTGGTGTGCACCACCTGGGGGTTGGACATGCTTGAAGCTCTGGCATGGTGGGGGTGGTGATGGCAGGAGCAATATATGTAACCCTAACAATATCTGTACCCCCATAATATAATGAAATAAGAGAATAAATAAATAAATAAAAATTAAAAAAATAAAACCTTCAAAAAAGTACAACTTTTATCTCTGATGTTTTAGTGATAATTTGGGATACTTCAATATTATTTTAATTGAAAATGTAGATAAGTATAATTACATTTCCATATTAATTTCTTGATTTTTATAAAGGAAAAGAAATGCTGACATATCTTGAATATTTACATGTTTGACCATCTTTGTTGACACTATACCTATTCAAAAGTCTTTTAGAAGGTAAATGAAGATTTTATAAAGTGTTTAGAATTCCCAGAACTTCTTTGAGCACTTGACAACGTGTAAGTTTTGTGTTAATAGGTAACAACTGTACTTTTTTTAAATGAGCAGGTTTTTCTATTATTAGTTTAGAAAATGAGAAAAAAATGACTAAGTTTTTAATATGACTAACTCTTTAAGACACACTAAAGAACATCACAGTTAACATTTTGGTTGTGAAAGTCCTAATTAATACCTACAAATGTATAATGCTTTATATAAATTATGTTGGCTTACAATATTTGAAAATAAATATTTTTTTAAAATATGAATGTTTATAGTTCTTTGGATTTTTAAATTTATAGTCTGAAATGAAAGCTGTAGAAAGTTTTGTGGCAAATTGCCAGTGAATGAGTGAGATAAATAATGTAAGCCAACCCACTTTCTAATCTATACTGACCTTGGTCTTTTCCTGTGGAAAGACATCTATAAATGATCATTTGCATATCCAAGCCCTCCTGCAGCCAAATGTTGTCCATCACTTGAATAATCTGCAGAACAAGCATATCCTGACGAAGATCATTTCCGGCCTGTTAAAAACAAAATTATAGACGCTGGGTTTCTCCTTGAATTCCATTAAAAGCATTCAAATATGGTATATGTCATTTCTTTTCTTGGACACATTTCTAGCCTGACTTAAGAGTGGTTTCGATTGTTTTATTAGCATTAAGTGTACCTTGTGTTTCTGATAGAAAATCAAAGCAGTGAGAACTTCCCTTTAAATGATTACAGAAGCTTCCACCATCAAATTAGAAGCACTGCTCGGAATGTTGTTCCTTGATAATAATTTTTCAGTTTGTTATCCATGTGCAAGTTCTTACATTCACAGTCTAGTGAAGAGAGGCTGGACGAATGCTTATCTAAATTTCAAACTCAGCCTCTCTCTTAGTGAAACATTATTTGGTATGCCATAAATTTATGCACTGATATGCAGTTAGAATATCAAGAACTTCTTGACTAGGAGTGTAAATCGCATACATACAATTCATCAGACTTTAAATCAGTGATATCTGTTATCATGAAGGCAGCTAGAAAATTTTCAGAGAAAATAATATTTGATAATAAGAAGAAATCATAAAGGGGTGATCTTCTAGCATAGGTGAAGGAAATGGAATATATCCAAAGGGTGAAGACAGTTCTATGCTTTTAAACAAATAAGCAGTTGGCTTTGAAAATGCTTACTAAATGATGCACAGAAAATCCCGCCAAGATGAGATTTTTTTTTTGTCTTCATCAAAAATACAGTGTCATGGAACCACTAATCTTTGAGATTACACAGGTCAAAGCAAAAGTACAGGTGCAGAAATCATCCTCCAAAATAGGTAGAATCCACCAGAAATTCACTCTGAGATCTTGTTGCATGGGTTGGCTGGAGAATTGAGTAAATTAACTAGATAAATGGTTAATTCTCACTTTTTACTTGTAGCTTTCTTTTTGGTCCCTCTTCCCTAGCTGTCTATAACCCTGTTATTGCCTTTTACTCTATTTTTTTCCCAGGGGATTCATGATGAAGACAGAAATGGCTCATACTTTTTACTTAAAAGAAGAAAGTAATTCAAATTACTAAAATAAGCAAGTTCTTACAGGTTAGAATTTGATGTTAAATTAATTTATGTCACTTGAATTCCAGTTGATTTTATCCTAACTCAGTATCCTAACCAAAAGAACATTCTCTTCCTAGGAGCTCACCACACATTCTACTTTCTGTGCTATTTAAAAGTGATCGTATAATTTTATTTATGAAACATATTCTCTTAAGTTTTACACTGACGGTTCCTTGAGTTTGAGCCAGTAATGTTTGATTTATTGCCAATCATAGTTTGGCATGGACTACAATTCTGCAAAAAAGCAGAATCTGAAATAACTGGAAAATCTCTGTGTTTCTGCCAAAGGAAAACAATAATTTCTTTTTGTGAGTAATAAATCAATAGTTCTGTCTAAGGAATCAATTCGGTGTTTTAGAAGGGCTACTTGTACCTTAAAAATAATGCTGATGTTTTTGCCCATTGGATTAGCATTGATGAAAGTAATCTTCAGTGGCAAAGCATTGGATGTGAAATATGAACATGCCTATGGAAAGAGAAAAATAGTGAGCAAAATAAAGCAAAGAGAACCCTTTTTCTGAAATCATAGCCCCTTGCAGCATTTGCTATATGAGCAAATGTAACACATAGGAATAATTTTTACACTTTGGAACAAAGAAACATATTTATTTTTAAAAAACTTTAGTCTATCAACCAAACCCTTTCCTTCAAAACTGTTCTCAGCTTTTTGGCAGATTGCAAATCTTCAACTATCTTTTTTTCCTCACTGAATAATAGTGAATGTAGGTTTACATAAATTAAGCAGTATACAAGTATCGTGCTTACACTAGTTGATTCATAGATAAAAGTTAAAATTGCTATTTAAAAAAAATTATTTCCTTTCAATTATTTCTGCCTTGCAGTATACTTAGAGAGTTAAGTATCAAATCTGGGCTGTACAACTTAAAAGCTGCGAGATCTTGGGCAAGTTCCTTAACATGTCTGTATCCCACTGTAAAATGGAGGTGACAACCCTTACTTTGCTCATTTTTGTGATAGATATATGAGCTAAGTGATATAAAATGGCTTTTACAGTGCCTGACACGTCATTTGAAAAATTAATACATTTGTCTTTCCTTTTTTGTTAATGACATTTTCTTGTCTTTATAAATAATAGTACAACGTGTATTTCATCTTTTCATTTCTTTCAATCATACTTTGCATTTCTATCTTCAGTTATATGATATTGATTACTTCCCACCCTATTTTCCTTGTTGTTTATTTTTCTTTTATTTTCTTGTAATTGTTTGAGTATCAAAGAAAGGCTGTATGTATTTAGGCTATGAAAGAGTTCATGTCGACAGTGAAGAGTCAAATCAATACCAAAGAAAAGAAAAGGACTTGATGATTTCAACTTATCAACTTGGTAAAATATGGCATCAATACATGATGAAGGATCAGTTTGAACATCATTATCTCTGAGAAGTCTGAAATCGACAGAAGCTGAGAGGAAAGGATCTATTTCTTAACTGACCTATCAAAACAAATCTAACCTAATCCTTAACTAAAGACAAACCCTTGGTTACTGAATCAATTGGAGTTTTACGATTTTATGGGTGAAGTTGCTTGTTAAGCAATAAAGTTCTGCTGCAAGAATCACCTAGGGATATTCTACTTTTATTGTTTAGTATCTTGGTTTTCACAAGCAATATATTTTTGAGTCACATCAAAAGTGTTATATATTCAACAACTAGTATGCGCAAGCTATTATCTATATGCTAACAGAAAGAAGCACCATATATACTCTCAAAAAGCTTACAAAAAGTTGGTTGAAAGTATATACATAGAAATTAAGTTAAAAATAATTCACAAGGCAATTTGCCACAGTTGAATGAAGGCACATTTGATGAAGAAAATCTTTCAGAGATGAACTGGGTTTTGAAGATCGTGAAGGACATAGATTGGCAAATAGGCAGATAAAGGGCTTTCTAGGTAGGGAAAGGCAAGTGATGAAATACTAGATTAGAGTAGAGGTTATGAAGTGGATTGGGACTGCCATAGCCAACAGACAGGGAGAGTTTATCAGAGACTTGGAGAATGAAAAGCCAGAAGCAGGAAAGAAGATAAGAAAAGCTGGAATACAGCAATGAAGATATGACCTCTGTCTTTGAGAAGTACACATTAATGACATAAATCTAAAAATAGTTTAAAAAGAAGCCTGTAAAGTAAATGAAATGTCTGGTCCTCATTTTTCCAATAGTGGAGAAGGATTGCATTAATTAACCTCTCCCATCCCACTTGATCCATCTCTTAATGACTGAGAGGGAAATAGAGAATGATCCTGTGTGATTAGTGGTTGACAGTGGGGACAAGGTTGGGGCTTCTTCTTATAAAGAAGCCTAACTCTAACCTAAGACCTGTGCTGTCTGCCTTTGAGCCCCACACTTTAATAAATGGGCTGAGCCAGTCCGGAATGCTTCTCTCCAGCGAAGTTGACTGACGGTGATAGAATACTGACTGAGAGCTTTCGCAACCTCTCTCCATTCACGGGACTTCTCTCCAGTGTGAACTCTCTGGTGCATCATAAACCGTGCACTATAATGGTTCACACAATCATCTAATGGCTTTCCCACAATTATTTCATTTATAAGGTTTCTCCCCAGAACGTGTTCTCTGATGTACACAAGGCTGGGACTGCGACTGATGACTCTTCTACACTCATTACATTCCTAGAGTTTCTCACCAGTGTGAATTCTCTGGTGTATAATGAGGTGTGAGTTTTGATTGTGGATTTTTCCATGCTTATCACATTTATATGGTTTTTTTATTTATTTTTTTGCCTGTGTGAAGTCTCTGGCATAGGGTAAGATATTCACTCAGACTCAGTGCCTTGCCACTTTGCATTCAAAAGGGTTTTCTTTGGTACGAATTTGCTCATAGTCAACAAATTAAGAGCTCTGATTGTGGGTTTTTCCAAACCCCCACATTTATATGCTTTTTGTTAATATATGTTCCCCAGTGTGGAAGCTCTAATGTCATATAAGTCATTTACTTTGCATGAAGGCCTTGCCATATTAATTACACTCATAAGCCTTCTTCCCAGTGTAGATTGTTTGATAATTAATCAAGTTTGTATTGGAATAGAGAGCTTTTCCACACTCATTTCAACTGTAAGTTTTCTCACCTCATTGTTCAGCAGGACTGAAGGACAGATTAAAATGTTCCCAAGAGAGTGTCACCTGGACATGTCTGTCCTGTTCATTGCTGGACCTGCAGGTGCCCAGCCCAGTGCCAGACACAGCTGATCACAGCAGTGGCCCCCAACCTTTTTAGCACCAGAGACTGGTTTCAAGGAAGACAATTTTTTCCATGGACAGGTGTTGGGGGATAGTTTGGGGATGATTCGAGTGCACAACCTATATCCCTTGCATGTGTAGTTTACAGTAGGGGTCGTGCTCCTATGACAATGTAATGCCACTGCTGATCTGACTGGAGGTGGAGCTCAGGTAGTGATGTGAGTGATGGGGAGCGGCTGTAAATACAGATGAAGCTTAACTCATGTGCCTGCCACTCACCACCTGCTGGGTGGCCCAGTTCCTAGTAGGCCACAGAATTGGTACCAGCCTGTGGCCTGGGGGTTGGGGACCGCAGGATTATAGCGAATGGGTCTGGATAGGAGGAGGCTCTACTTGGGGCAGCTTCTACAGAGAAAGTGTGGCTGGCTACAGGGTGTTGCAGGAAAGGAGTGAGGTCCCAGCCTTAGTGCCCTATAGGGGTGGTGACCCTTGGCCCAGCTGGCTCATGCACACACCCCCAGGGCCCACACAACCCAAATTCATATGTAATTTTAATGGGGAAAAAAAATGACTCTATACCTTAACAACAACAAACCAAGAAAGTAAAAGCAAAAAACCAACACCTGGACTCAGTAATCTCTGTTGTTCGTTCTACCTTAAGATACTAACAATGGGCTGGGCGCGGTGGCTCACGCCTGTAATCCTAGCATTTTGGGAGGCCGAGACAGGAGGATTGCTCAAGGTCAGGAGTTCAAAACCAGCCTGAGTAAGAGTAAGACCCTGTCTCTGCGAAAAATAGAAAGAATTTAATTGGCTAACTATATGGAAAATTATTAGCCAGGCATGGTGGCGCATGCCTGTAGTCCCAGCTACTTGGGAGGCTGAGGCAGTAGGATTGCTTGAGCCCAGGAGATTGAGGTTGCTGTGAGCTAGGCTGACACCACAGCACTCACTCTAGCCTGGGCAGCAAAGTGAGACTGTGTCTCAAAAAACAACAACAAAAAACATACTAACAATGTCTTTGAAATAATGAGTTACTGTATAAGTTCAGCATTAGTCAGTGAATACTGTTAATGATTAAAAAGTTGTATAATTTTTTGGAAATTAATAATGATTTGGATTTTAGCCCAGATAGATATATCTCAGTTTATGGAATTTCATACCTTATTTTGTTATTTTTCAAAATATGTTTATGAAGTATATCAGGAAAGTTTGTAGGGTTTCTTGATGGCAGCAAAGTGAAGAAGATGAAAGTATCAACTGTTTATCAAAACATTTTATGTTCATATTAACAATGGTCTAATTTTTTTCCCTAATTTTTGGGTTGGTTTTTTGACTGTCTTATGACTTCAGTTAAGTACCATTTATTGTGCATGCATGATAGCTTAACTTTTAAATCTTACTTATCAATCATTTTCTCTCTTAGTATCTTTCTACTCTTGGGCTTTTGATAAGGAGGATAATAAAGCTTATCAGGAACAAAGGAGAAGAATGATTCTAAGTCAGAGAAGGGTGACTGTGGGGTATCATGTGACAGAGGATTAGGAAGAAAAGGCTTAGGACGTTATGAGTCTGACAATGCCAGGAAGGGCTTTCTAGACCTGAATAGAATCCCAAAATGCATTATATGACACACTGACATATCAGCAGCAAATGAATTTTAAATTGAATCAAAATGAGGAAGTTGTAGCTAATGATTAATATCCATGTACTAGGCATGGTGATGCACATAATCTAAATAAAGCATGAAATTATACCCAGCCTGCATGGGGTCATGAAATCCATCATTTTGAATAAGTCAAGAAATCAATCCAGTGATATGTACCTTTATTGTTTTTTTCACTGAACTGATGGATAGTTTATTTCCAAATGAAAATATTATTAATATATGACAAGGCCAATGTAATCCCAGCCGGTCATAGTGCATCAAAGGGAGAATGCAGTGTGGATGAGAGTCAATTACTTTCTCTTTATAATAATGTCAATGTCAGTTTATGAATTCTTTTTGCTATTTCAAAAATATACCAGTGAACTAAGTAATACAAAACATGCATACTCAATTTATCCACTGATTAAGTCGACTTACGTCACGGTCAATCCCTTTTATACACAGGGCAGGGTTCAAAGGAAGGTGACAAGTATTTCCATCTTGAAAGAATTCTTCTAGTCTGCCAATCTCTTTCTTCAGCACCTCCTGTGAAAAATCATTAGAAAAAGCATTTAAGAAAGTGGAAAGAACTGGACTTTTCCTTCCTAGTTATAATTTTCTTCTATTGATTAAATAAACTCTTTAATTGAGGGGTTGCACACTTGGATGGCTTTTCAGGCAGGTGACATAGTCCTGTGTGAGCAGGCAGGAGGCTGAAGACCACACAGAGTGCTGGGGAAGTGGGGAACTAGAGATCACATGCCCTTTTGACAGGGCCTCAAATTCAAGTAAAAACATAAACCAAATAAAACACTATGGGTTGAACTTGACCCATGGCCCACCAATTTGTAACTCTGCTTTAATTAATTATTAATATGATCCTTTTCTGATAATTTTCCAAAAGCTTTGCTGATAACTCTTGAGATTTACACTTCACAGTATATTATATAGTCATATAATTATATATGATAATATTTCAAAACAATTATAATCAACTTACATAATATATACCACTGTACTTATAATTATTAATTTTAATATAATATATTACATGTAGTATACATTACATAATATTCATATATATTAATAACAGTAATGACAAAAACCAGCAATTGCACAATGCTGTCAGAAACAATAACATACGTGAGCAAATAGTTTACTAGATGCCAATGAGTGTATTTCTGATATTTACTCCCTTCCACACCCCACAAACCACCTTTAGAATTGTGCATTCTCTGACAAAAATAGATAGGCAGCAATCATAGTTTGTCACAAAATAAAAAAAGCTCCTTTTAGCCCATTTTTGAAAACTTTTGAAGCCCAGTGCTTATGATGAGGATATCATATGGATAATGTTTAATTAGGTCTCAGGAGTTTCTTAGCTCTGACTCCTGGCTCACTGGCAAATAACACAATCCATTGCTTCCAGGATCCAGAAGAGCAAGGTGGAAACGAGGCAAAGTTCTGTCGTAGCGCTCTCTGTGTGGCTGCCTTCTTTGCCTCATCTAGACTTGGATGTGCCTGCTGAATATCATGGAAAGAATCTCTACTTCCTTTGTTTAACTAACCCTTCTTCATGTCATATAACTTGGTTTAACTAGTATTTTTTATTAGTCAGAAAAAATAAGCTATTGGTAACTTAAGTTATGAAAAATTGTCATTATTTTTTAATTGCGAGAAATTATGAATGCCTCTCCTACCTCTTGCCCTTGCTCATCCTATTTTAATGTGAAGAAGTGTTATCACAAAAACATACAGTCAAGACAAGAGAAATATAAGTAATTGAGTGAATAAAGTCAATATCACTCTGGAACTTGATGCATATGATAAAAAAGAAGGCACTGGAATAATTTAACCATAGTGTCCCTCTTAATTATGTGAAGGATTTTAAAACATAGAAGATAAAAAAACAAACCTATACAGAAACTTCTGTAAATTTTAAATCAATTTATTTTACTCGCTATCAACTTTTTGTCTGCAATTAGAAAATAATGATTAAGCTTGCAGTAATATGGAGAAATTGTAGACTTTTTTTTTAATATTGCCCATCATGTTATATATCTTAAGGCTCCTCTGTATAGCCAGAGTTTAAAATTTAAACTCATTTAAAAATAAATTCCATATTTATGTTTTTTATTTTTCATTTACTCCTAGGTTGGTGAAGTAACAGCTCCTGGCATTTAATTTCTATTAAATGAAGTGACTTCCAGCAAGAAAAATCCTGGGCTGGGAAAGAATTCTGGGACACTTTGCCTATTACTATTTTCATATCATTTTATTAAAAACTCTTGTTGATTTTAGACAGTGAGTGGAGAGAAACTTATGAGTTCCCTTGAGGACAAAATTTATGTTTTTGTCATCTTTCTACCCTTAACTTCTGATCTGTAGTAGATACTCAATTGTTAATTGAATAATATTTTTAATACAATGAATGGATGTCCACTATCTCCCTGCATCTAGAATGTTGAACTTAAGAGAACCTACTTAACAGTCTATGTCAGTAAAAGGAGCTAGTGATGCAGAGAATTAAAAAGAGCAAATGTTCTTCCCTTAAATCAAGAAAAAGAATAGCCAGGTCTATTTACTATAATCACTGAGAAGGAGGTACAATATTTTGGCTATCATCCATAAATCTTACTTATAAAAAATATTACCATCCATACCACCTTTGGTTAATTTCATTTAATTCATTTTATTTGTTGTAGCAAAAACAAAACAAAACAAAACAAAAAAAATGTCTTTGCAAATGTGACTTTTTAGGGGCAATTTAGGAAAATCTAGACCTGGATTTTGTGCTGTGGGATGGGTGCCCTAAAGAATCTCCTCATATATTTCTCCCATGAGTCTGAATCATGCCACCATTTTGAGGGAATTAATTCATTAGGCTTTTTGAGTCCAACTGCCTTTAAGTTGGTCTCCTCTTGTCAGGTTCCTCTGTGTGCTACATGGCTATTTAGATCAAAACATCCATATCCTGCTGATAGACATTATCATTAACTTTAGGATAGTATATGGGAAAAAAAAAAAAACTTGACTGAAGTCATTGACTTTAGTGTCTTAAAGTAGTCAAGGAATTTGCTTTCTAAGTAATGAAATTAAAACTTAATTTAAACCAAAGTTTTAAAAAACCATTACTACCTGAAGGTTAGTTTCTCAACAAACCTGTCTTTGATGGTCACTGGCAGACTTGACTTTTCCCCCAATATCTCCCAGAATTTTGATAAGTTTCCTCTCTTTGGAAAACTCATCACTCAAGGCTTTTCCCACACAGAATTGGAGAGCTGCTAGCAACTTCTGATACCAGCTTTTAAAGTAAACTTCATTCTGTGCATCTGTTAGCAGCCTGAAGGAAAGAGAGAAAAAGAATTCTTGTATCTAAAGCTGATTTTTGTAACCACCTCCAGTAAGAACAAGTGCATTTCAGACTAATCCGTATTTGGTGGCTTTGGGCAATTTAACAGCCTGGAATGGGGGAAAGTGTTGTTTATTTGTTGGCAGTCATCAAGGTCCAACTGATAGCTATTGAGATTCCAAGAGTGAAGAATCAATAAGAGACCTGCCTTTCCTCATTTCAATTCAGAGTGCATTTTTTTCTTCTTTCAATCTTCTTAATTCTGCAACAGACACTTATCTCAAGAACATACTTTTGACTTCTTATTAAAATATGGACAAAGGACTTTAGAAATAGCTTTTATGAGTGACTATATTATATTGTGACTCAACCATCAAGCCCACCCTTTTCTTCTTTTCTTCAAATGTCCCCACATTGCCACATACCCATGCATTGCTCTTTTCCCCAGCACTTACCCTTGATTACCTGGAGAAAGACACTGTAAAGTCAAAAGCATGTTTTGTTGTTGTTGTTGTTGTTGTTAGGCATTTTGGGACTCAAATCTGTACTCTATAGCTTACAAGTTATAATTCTTAACCAGGCTGAGATTTTATTTCTTTATCTGTAAAGTAAGGTAATGACTCTGATTCTAAAGAGCTGTATAGAACATAAAATGAGCTAATGCATTTGAAAGTGATTAGCACAAAAATATTAGTTCATCAGTATCTTGAAGTCAACTCCTTTTTTTTTATTATTTCAAAATATTCAGGGGATACAATGTTTTAAGTTACATAGATTGCTTTTGTAATGCTTCAGTCCTGGCAATAGGTGTGCCCGTCACCCAAATAGTGTTCATAGTACCCATTCAGTAGGGTTTTCTTCCCCTCCCCTCCTCCCTACCCCACATTGATTTCCACTGAGTTTTATTTCCCTCTGTGCACATGTGTGTTCATCAGTTAGTTCCAAGTTAACAGTGAGTACGTGTGGTGTTTGTTTTTCCATTCTTGAGATACTTCACTTAGCTGAATGGTCTCCAGTTCCATCCAGATTGTCATGAAAGGTATTAATTCATCTTTTTGTGGCCGAGTAGTACTCCATGGTATACATATGCCACATTTTATTAATCCACTCATGAATTGATGGGCACTTGAGTTGACTCCACATCTTTGCAATTGTGAATTGTGGTGCAATAAACATTCGAGTGCAGGTGTATTTTTGATGAAAAGTCTTCTTTTCCTTTGGGAAACATGTAATAGTGGGATTGCTGGATTGAATGGTATGTCTACTTTTAGTACTCTGAGGAATCTCTGTACTGTTTTCCATGGACATGGTACTAATTTTCAGTCCCACCAAGAGTGTTCCTCTGTCTCTGCATCCATGCCAGCATTTATTGTTTGGGACTTTTTAATAAAAGCCATTCTGACTGGGGTAAGGTTATATCTCATTTTGGTTTTAATTTGCATTTCCCTGATGATTAGTGACATTGAGCATTTTTTCTTATGTTTATTGGTCATTTGTCTTTCTTCTTTTGAGAAGCGTATGTTCATGTCTTTTGCTCACTTTTTAATAGGACTGTTTGGTTTTTTTCTTGCTGATTTTCTTGAGTTCTTTATAAATTCTGATTATAAGCCCTTTATTGGATGTATAGCTTACAAATATTTTCCCCCATTGGGTAGGTTTGTCTATTTGCTCTGTTGATTGTTTCCTTAGCTATGCAGAAGCGTTTAGTTTAATCAAATCCCATTTATTTATTTTTGTTGCTGCCATGGTTGTCATTGAAGTCTTAGTCCTTAATTCTTCGTTTAGGTTGATATCTAGAAGAGTTTTTCTACATTGACCTCTAGAATTCTTAGGGTTTCATGCCTTAGATCTAAGTCTTTTATCCATCTTGAATTAATTTTTGTGAGTGGTGAGAGGTAGGGGTCCTGTTTCATTCTTCTGCATGTGGCTATCCAATTTTACCAGCACCATGTATTGACTCGGGCTTCTTTTCCCCAGTGTACATTGTTGTCTGCTTTGTCAAAGATCTATTGGCTATAAGTAGATGGTTGTATATCTGGGTTCTTTGCCCTGTTCAATTGGTCTATGTCTCTATTTTTTGTATCACTCCTGTGCTGTTTTGGTTACTATAGCCTTGTAGTATAGTTTGAAGTCTGGTAATGTTATGACTCTAGATTTGTTCTTTTTGCTTAAGATTGCTTTGGCTATTCAGGCTTTTTCTAGTTCCAAATGAAGCATATAATTATTTTTTTCTAGATCTGTGAAGCATGACTTTGGTAATTTAATGAGAATTGTACTGAATTTGTAAATCACTTTGGGTGGTATGGACATTTTAACAATGTTGCTTCTGCCTTTCCATGGGTGTGATATGTTTTTCCATTTGTTTGTATCCTCTGTGATTTCTTTCCTCAGAGTAACTGCTTTCTCTGTCTGACAGGGAGGGGTAGAGCATGAAGAAGTAAGAAGACTTCTTCATATGTTTCTTGGCCATATGTCTACCTTCTTTTGAAAAGTTTCTGTTCATGTCCTTTGCCCACTTATTAATGGGGTTGTTTGATTTTTTTCTTGCTGATTTTCCTGAGTTCTATATAGATTCTAATGATTTGGGTGGTGCAAAGGCAATATATGCAACTTAAACATTTGTACCCTTGTAATATTCTGAAATCTAAAAAAACTAAAAAAAAAAAAAAAACAAAGTAAGAATACCTTGCAAGATAATGGAGCAGTGACACATATTTGATTACTCTGTCATGTGACAATTTCTCTTCCTTGAAACCAATTCCAATATCCTAAAACTTTACTTTCTATTATGCCCTAAAACTGTGGTCCCCAACCCCTGGGTGGCCTGTCATGAAACAGGTCACTGCCTTAGGTCTGCACCACCCCACCACCATCCACGACATCCTCCTCCAACCCTCCCTTGGGTCTGTGGAAAAATTGTCTCCCATGAAACCAGTCCCTAGTGCCAAAAAGTTTGGAGACTGCTGCAAACATTGAAATGGAATAAAAAAGCTAATTCCTTTTAATCTTAACTTCTCTCTGATTGATTCTTTGACTCTAAATTGGTCTTTAGTTCTCTCCTCCTCTGAAAAATAAGTAGCTTTCAAGGAATTAAAGAAAATTATGAGAATGGAATACTAAAAAATAAAAAGAGATTTTTTTTGGCCAGGTGCGGAGGCCAAGGAAGATAGCTGAGGTGGGAGGATCGCGGGAGGTGGGAGGATCGCTCAAGGTCAGGAGTTCCAAACTAGCTTGGGTAAGAGCAAGACCCCATCTCCACTAAAAATGGAAAGAAATTAATTGGCCAACTAAAAATATATATAGAAAAAATTAGCCAGGCATGGTGGCACATATCTGTAGTCCCAGCTACTCGGGAGGCTGAGGCAGAAGGATTGCCTGAGCCCAGGAGTTTGAGGTTGCTGTGAGCTAGGCTGACACCCTGGTACTCTAGCCTGGGCAACAGAGTGAGACTCTGTCTCAAATAAATAAATATTTTTTTAAAAGTTTTTTTTGGTATAACAGCAAAAAATATATATGGAAGGCTTATTCCGCATGCCTTTTGCATCTTTACCCAATATGTATTATGTTACAAAGATTAACACATTAAATTTTTTAACATTTTAACACATTAAAATTTTTAACACTAACAAACACATTAAATTTTTCAGTGTTTTCTGCTTCTATGCATGTAAGTTAAAAAATAGTTGAATGAGTTCGCATTTTTTTTAAGGTGAGGGGCTGTTCCTCTGTCATTGTGATGAAACTAACATCCTCTAGCACCTCTTTTACTTTCCCAAAGGAAATACAAACTTTGTGTGAAATGATCATTCTAAAGTACTTCTGGAAAGCATTTAAAATAACACACATACACATATAATACATACACATACACAGAAATCTCAAGGGCTTAAAGCTGTATCACAGGAGATATATACTCTATTGATACCTGGTTATTTTCCATGTAGGAAGAAAAGCAGACAATGAATAGGAAGAAAAGTAGGCAATGAAAAGTTTTCCTACTCATCTCTGTGATGAGATTTTGAAATGTCAAACAAGTAATAAATGAATCACATCATTCATTATCTGGAGGCTCTAAGAAGATGCATGTTGCATGCACATGAATGCAAAGCTGCAAATGCAAGCATGCACATGCAAAACTTCAAGATAGTTTGTGCAGAATTGTATATCTCTCAGAATCTCACAGTACTCTGAGCACAGTGGTAATGTACCATTTTATAATCTACTTGAGTTTTAATGAAATAGGGAGATAGAGTATTTCCATATCCAAAATCAATGTTTGTTAGCATTTTTATATGCTTTGAATATTGGGTTACTTGTTTTTTAAAGTATTTTTAACCTGTTCTAGTATATAAATATAACTCTATAACCGCCCAACCGCTAAATACATGATAAAAAGAAAAGTTATTCTGCACAAGTGAAGTTGACAAGTTTTTATTAAAATAATTAAAGAAAAATATAGTCTAGGATTGGTCATAGGGACTGTCAGAATTGTATAGTTAATTTGTATTCATAGTACTCATTTCTTCTTCTATTAAAAATGAATTTTCTTCTCTCAGCAATGTATTTACTTCTCTTGGGGTTCAAAGAAGAAAAACTCAGTTTGATTCCCTGCTCAAAATAAAATAAGAGCAGGGAAGATTCACAGAGAGAGAATATGTGAGCACGTCCTTAAAAAAAAACATAAATGCTAAGAAGACTCAGTGTATTCTGCTGTGATTATTTACCTTGAAGAATATCTCATTCAAACCCTGCATTGCTGCCAAAAATTCCATGTTCTCCTGGTGAGATCTGGTTCAAGCTCTATGACTTTTGACTCAAGGAACAAAGAGTTTGGTTTTGTACGTTGCAAAACTGAAATTACAGTGTTGGAGATGACCAGGAGAGGTTAATTCTTCTATTCCTGTGTCCTCAGGCACACTTTAAATGACAAGAGAAATTAGCATGTCCCTCAATTTTAAACAGCTGCAGCGAAAGTTGGAGTCCACAGTTGG